GGTGAATCTGATTGTAGTTTACATATTGATGTAGTGGAGACCAATGAAGACTACAGCTTTTACGCTAAAACATGATTTTTGGATATGCTATTTTGTAGTTAATGTTAAAACGTGATTTGTAAATATGTTATTTTGTGGTTAATGTTAAAACGTGATTTGTGGTGATTGGATATTAAATTGAATGAGAAAGTAAATTAATACTGCATTTGCTATTTGAATGGGAGTTATTGTTTCATATTAATGATATTTTTCAATTTTATTGCAGGTATTTTTTTAGTTCAATCACATAAAATTAACACAATTAAAAAATAAAAAGAAATCACAGAATTTCTAAATACGCCACTAGATTTTATTTTTTTTTTAAAGATATGACGGCGTTTTAAAACGTCGCTAAATATCATCGTGACGTCATATTACCGTTAAGTACAACATTAATCTAATGACGTTTTTAAAGTACCATAACGCTATAGCAACGGCCGTGTCTTCGGTGTTTGGTATTAAACATCACAAAAAGAATTAGCAACGTTTTTCACACCTATAGCAGCATTTTTTAATCACCGCTAAATGCGAAATTTCCAGCAGTGTGGTGACTATATTACTAAAATTATAACGATGAAAAGTGCCATCAATAAAGCCAAAATGTAGTTTTGTATCACTTATTGAGTAATGGCATAAAAATTGATCAATGATACAAAATTTTGTTAATAATTGATGTACCAGGTAATATAAAATTTAAACTTTGAAACATCACTCCCTTTAATAAAATGATAGGTGTTAGAAATTTTAAATTTAAAACATTACTTATCTCAATAATATAGTAAGTGTCATTCCAATTTTTACTAACTAATGCAACATTCAATAAAAAAAATTAAACAAAATGTAAAACATAACCCACTTTAATAATGTGATAGGTGTCAAGAACTTTAAATGTGAAACACGACTCACCTTAATAATATAATAAGTGCCACATCAATTTGTTAATTTGTAATAACATTTCCTTTAACTTAAAATAACGTTAGTCACGATCATCTACTTTGTATATTACCGAATCTTTTTAAAAAAATAAATCCTTGTAAGATCATATAACCATAATCAGATATTTAGTTCAACTTACTTTTGTACCGACCTTCTGATCCTAATGATTCCGAAACTTGTACCTCCTTTGATAATTCTATGTAGAATGATGATAATGGTTAAGTGTTTATTCACATTAACTTACAATTTATCAATGATAATATGACCACCAGAGGTTTTGAAGTATGTCCAAAACATGTCCTAAACTCTTAAGTGCTTAAACCAGCAAAATAGACTTCAACAACCAAATTTGAACTTGGCCAATTGACTTACCAATTGTTTGCCTGACTCATGGCCCGATTGTTCGCACCCATTCTAAGAACAAAGAACGACAACCAAGGAGCTACGAATTTCAGTCTTCTTTCTTCTAATTCATATTTCTTTTATCAAAACAATTACAATAGTACTTTAATTATATCTATATTTGTACAAAGCTCACAACTCACATATACATGAGGGGATTTAGTACGAACTAAAATCCATAAAATACCATGGATAATTCTTATCATTCCTTGTTTAGGTTCCTTTTTTTTTTTTTAATCTCAGTTCTCTCTTTCTTCTTCTTGCTTGCTTTTCCCCTTTCTTTTTTCCTCTTACTATGCTATGTGTGTATAGGACTACGTAGAATACCACTTCATTTGTTGCGCTCTAGGTGATTTGGACAAATTGTCAGTGCAAGTTGTGCTCGTGGAGAGGATTTTAGAGATAGGGTGATTCGTGGGTAATTTAAAATTTACAACATGCACATTTAACCTACGTAGCCCAACTCACTATATTTTACATAAATAATTAAAAATATATAACATTAACAAATTTACACTGGCACACACTCAAATAAAACCCTAAATCTACTTTGCAAAAGCATCAAATGACGAGAAGAAGAAGGAAGAAGAAGAGAAAGAGAGGGGGCGCTAACCAAAGATAGCTCTGACAATTGTGCATGCACTAGTTTTGTTTTGGCTTCTTTTTTTTTTTTTTTCTGGTTTTGATTTGTTTTGTTTTTTCCCCCATAAGTAAAAATATATCATTTAAATCAAAGGGGAATTTTTTTTCAGGTCCCTGGTATTAAGACTTTACAGCATAAAGGACACTCAATATTTTCATAATGTCTAAGGTCCCGCAAGTTGATCCAGAGAAAATTGATCCAGAGAAAATTTGTCTAGAGAAAATTCCTCAATATTTTCATAATTTCTTCACCTGTTTGAATTTGCAGCGTTACCACCATGGGTTTGTTTACATGGACTAGAGAAATTCTTTGGTTTAGATTGAATTTTCTTTGGTCTGAACTGAATTTTCTCTGGATTTTCGCTGGGTTGGTCCAGAGAATTTCTCTGGTTTGGTTGGTCTGAATTTTCTTTGGGTTGTTGGACTGAAATTTGAGAGGCTGATGCATACTTACCTTGATTGAATTACCCATGAGATTTGTGATGATTTGCCGAAATCTACCTTGATCTCCATAATACTGAAATTCTTGAATGGGGAAAATTCAGTTTAAAAACCAAAGAATTTCTCTGGACCAACCCAGAGAAAATTCAGTTTAAAAACCAGAGAATTTCTCTGGTTTCAACCCAGAGAAAATTTAGTTCAGGTGCATGGCCATGGCCATGGGAGTTTCCTTGTCTTGAAGCTGTAGCAGTGTTGATGGAATGTGAAAATCCAGTGAATTCTCCACTATACATGAACACCAATAGTAGTGCTTTATACTAGTTGTATTAATAAAACAGTCAAGTCTTCTTCACAAACCCATTATTAACACCAATAGAAGTGAGGCAACAAAGGATGCTGGTGTAATTGCTGGTCTCAATGTGATGCGTATCATCAATGAACCCACTGCCGCTGCCATTGCTTATGGTCTTGACAAAAAGGCAACCAGTGTTGGTGAGAAGAATGTTTAGAAACTCTAGAGCGGTGCATTGGTGGATTACACACAAAATAATAATAATAATAAATAAATAATTAGAATTAAAATCGAACACATGCATTAAGAAAATGAAGACGCAGTGATATCTATGTAGTAGTATTGAAATTCAAATACCATTATCCAGAGAAAATTATCATTTTTGTAGCTAGTTATAACAATCTATATATATATATATATGCACATTGATCATATGTTTTCTTTCTTTCACAATTTCAAAAACCAAACCATGCACGAGGTGAAAACTTTTCTACATTTGTATATTTTTCAAGGATTATCAGTGTGAACTGAGTGTATGTACAATCCATTATAGGCCTTTTCCAGTTTCTCTCTCTCTATTCAGGGAAAATCAATCATAGGAAAATCCAATCTGGATCTGGGTATAGTCATAACAAAACAACACAAATATTTGATATTTGGCCAAGATGGCAATGACTCTGCATATTGGTGAAAATCTGAAGCTTATCAAGGGAGATCATGGAAAGTGGTGTTCTTAGAATACTCACATTTTGCTTACTACACACAGTTTCATTCTCATGATACTGTTAAAGGTTTCAAAAAACCTAGTATAGTGATCACAAATAATTTAAATTATTCCAACTCATAACTTCAAATCCATTGCCTACCAAATACATCATAGGTAAAATAAGTTACTAGATGGAAGGATAACTAAATGAGAGACTATACAATATAGGAGCATGCATATATATATTGGTGAAAAGAAGAGTAACAGCACCAAAATGCATGGATACAACAGAATCGTTCTACAGCACAGGCATTGTATAAATGATTCAATCATAGAGAAAATTCAAATTTCTCTAGGTTCAGTTTGACCAATTTTCAAACCAGAGAAAATTGATAAATTCTGGACTTCCCAAGCCCAGAGAAAATTGGTACAATTATTAGAATCTTGAATTTGAAGTTGTGATTTCAAATCTTCCACTTGGTTGGGTCATGAATAAAATTGGTTTTCAAAAATTCAGGTGGCCTCCTTTCTCTCTCTAGCCCGAGACCATCCATCACATGCAAGCAAATCCTTTAAAACCACCATGGACGATGCTGCTGTTCGGGTGAAGCAAGAAACCAAGCGACTGAGGTTTGGATGAATAGACACAAACCCAGACCTCTCTCTCTCTCGGGTGGGAGAGACACCATTGTTTGTGAGACACATGCATGATCTCTCTATCTATCACCTTCTCTCTCTCCACAGGGGCAAAACCCAGCTTGCTCATAGTCCATGGCTGCCACTCTAGGGGCCGTCGTCATCACCGAAGCCCAAGCCACCTTGTACACCATCGGCAGTCATAGCTTCGGTTACCATTTAACGTCGCGATAGCTCTGGCTACCATCGATTCATGCCGATACCATCTCCACCTCATCTTGATGCTTCACTTCAGACTATCACTCGTCGGAGTCGGATCCATCGATGGCTATTTCCATAGGCGTAGCAGCAGAAGAGGAAGACGCAATGTTATTGTTGTTTGGCTCGGCCATATCTGATGAAGAATCAACAACGCGAAGTCAAAGAGAGAGATGAATTGTGGGCAAAGAGTCAAATTTCTCTGATATATGTTTAGGGACCTTAAACATCAAAAAATAATTTTGTAGATCTTTTCCATTACAAAAAGTGGGGGAGGGACCTTATACTAATTTTTCCTAAATCAAAATGACTCCTTTTGATCTCTTGTAAGATAAATATATAAAATTTTACTATAGAGAGGATCCGGAAGCCTTATAAAAATCATCGTAAAACACATTTGCATGATTGTGGGATAATTGAATACATACACACATAAAATGAAAATTATTATTTCACAAAATGATTATAAATTCATGAAAATTTTAATTATTAAACTTGTATCCCTTATTTATAAAGAGAAATTACATATTAGTGGAATGATAAAAAAAAATTTCATTTAATTTTTATTTATTTATTTTTTTTTGGTCTTAGTGGATATGTAATTCCATTCCACCCTATTTATAGTTTAACTTTTCAGTATATTCACTTTTGTTCTTTCTTCTTCTTTCTTCTAGTATCCTCTGCAACGTTCCTCCGCGGTCTAATAGGATCTAACACTAACGTACGCTCGGGCCTTACAATTTTGCCACAACTCTCGTTCCACAGATCCTCTTCTGTGTCACAGCCGTGGTCAGTTCAAAACATCCAAACCCTAACCCTAGAGTTTCAAAATTCAACTGTCGATTCGCTTCAGTTACATCACCAATGGGCGAATTGAATATGGAAGAGATGTCTCTACCTGCTCTCTTCAAGCAGGCTCGCCAAATTCATCTGTCAGCTTCCGAATCTGGCATCGATCAGGTAATCCATATGTATGTATTGACGCAAGTGTTTTTCATTACGAGTAAATCAGAGGATTTGATTATGGGGGCATTGTAGGAAACTCTGAGAAAGGGATGTGAAGCTTTGCAACAGTGCGAGGAAATGATTGGCAAATTGGGGTTGTTTTCATCGAACGAGACCAAAGATGATATTAGCACAACCAACCTCAAATATCTTTTGGTAATGATTTATTATTATTATTATTATTATTATTATTATTAATTTTTATAGCATTTTTAAAATCAAGAGATTTTTTTATTTTTATTTTTTTGTTAGATTATTGGAGTTTTATTTCAGAGTTCTTTTCCTTTTCTTCTGTGTACATGCGTTGTTTAATTAATGAGTTAAGTGAGGAAAATGATATAGAATGTACTTATCAGAATCTTAAATTTTGATTTTTGTTTGTCTATTTTGAGGGAGTATTTGGAAACCACCAACCAAACAGGATTTAATTTGTATTTAAATGGCATTCCAGCTTGCTATTGGACAGCCATTGAGAGAATTGGATTCATTCTGTTGATCATAGTGCAAAGAAAGAAATTGACCGACTTGAATGGGTCCATTATGGCATGTATAGATATTTTTTACAGTCAATAGTCTAAGAAGCACGGACACTTTTAAAAGGGGTATCTGTTTCGGACACTTCGCAACACTTGTCTGACACTCATTCAAACATGCCTTATTTTAAAAAATAAAAATAAAAATAAAAATTAGACTCCGACACTTGAAGGATACACGTGTCAATTACTTAAACACGTGTCAATTGATTAGACACACAGGAAACTAATTATAAGTTTGAACAAATTGACTTAGAATATGATGATAAAAGAAAGTCACTTTATAGAAATTAATGTTATATTGCATTCATTTATTGTTGTGAAATGATATATTCATATATATGTATGATATATAATAAATATATAAAATTATATATTTTGTGCCCCCTATGTGTTGTGTCTTGCATTTTTTTAAAAATTGTCGTGTTGGAATGTCTGTGTCCGTGTCATGTCACGTGCCCGTGCCCCTACTTCTTAATCAATGGTAAAACTTCAAGCTATTATGTTAGTTGTTCTAGATGTCAAGTTCTACAATTTGTGGATTCTGACCACACTCTGGGATGAAAAATCCAAAGTTTGTGCCTTCGGACCAGCTTGCAGGATTTTCCTTGTGTAACTGAAAAAATGGGGAAAAAACATTACTTCTTGTGGCTTATCTTTAGGGAGATGTTAGGGAGGCTATGAAAGCTGATAATTTTTTCGATAAGATGGAAGCTTCACCTCAATTATACCAAATCATTGTATTTGTCTTAGTTGGGTGAAGTTTTTCTTTTGGGTCTCAAACAATGGTAATTTTAAGAGTTATAGGGTATGTTTGGTTTGATTTTGAGAGAGTAGTTCTTAAAAATTGTTTTGGGAAGAAAGTTTAGAAATTTTTTTGATTTGTTTAGTTGTGTATTTTGAAAATAGTTTTAGAGCTTGGGAGTTTGGAATGATTTGATATTTTGTTATAATTGAGTAGATGTGTATGAGAGAAAAAGTGATTGAGAATGAGAGAGGAGAGAGAAAAAGTGATTGATTGATAGGTAAGAGAGAGAAAGTGATTTTAGAAATTGTTTTGGAAAATTTACAAACCAAACAAATTTTTTAGAAATTTTTTTCCAAAATCACTTTACAAATCCAAACCAAACATACCCATAATTTCAGTGAATTTTCTTTTGTTCCACTTTGTCAACAGCCAAAAGGAGCCTATTGGTTTTATATTGGGCACTAAAGGCTTGCTATTTGATGTCTGAGCGACTTCAAAATGCTCCTTTAGCTATTCAAAATGTTATAATTAGGAAACCTGACTGATCTAGAGGGAGAGTGCAACATGCCCGGGGGTTATTCGCGCCCGTTAAACAGTTTCGGACCCTCGATTTCTTTGATTTAGTCTCACGAGTGCAATGTGACACATAGATGAGAGTCTAAATTTGACAACTTCATAGAAAATCCATTTTATTACAAAACCACTTGCCAGAAATGGACTGGGTCATTTGATATCAAAGTTGTCACCGAATGTTTTGGGAAAACTAGGAAACCCGTGACTCATGCCAAGGCTACTGCTCGTCATAACCAAGGATGTTTGGCTCGGAACCTTAGGTATGAGAGGTGAAGGTTATTAATTGAGCACCTCAATTCATCCGATCAAAAGATCGATCTCTATTAAATTATGATATGAATTTTATTTCCTTTATATGTTCATATTTCGATTATTTAATAAATTCTAAAATTTAGTATGCGAAGCATACAAGTATAAACTATGTCATTTATTTTGGAACAATTTGATTTCATGTGTTTTGAAAGAATTTTGAAGATGTACAACTCAATGAAATTGAGTTTACAAACATGAAAATTAATATTTTTCTAAATTAAGTGACACAACCTCCATCCACTGTCATTCATATCCTTATATCAAGTAAGGAAGTAGTCTCATGATAGGATACTAAACATAGTAAAAAAAACATTTACAAGCAAGATGTTAAAGTATAAAAATTTACATATTTACCGACGTCCCGCGAACAATTTCAAAACAAAGTTAGTAAAATATGCATGATTTTATATACAAAATCCTAATGCAATTCATTCATGAAAATGCAACTAAAGATTCAGCTTCTACTATATGACATGTGAATCATCTCAAGAATATGAGGTAGTGCACATAATCATATAAGAGTTGATTAAAATCTATAGATGCAAATTTAGGCGAGTTTTATGGCATGAAACATGGATGCAAAGCATGGATATGAAGACAAGAAAAATATACTACATATTTAAAGATATGGAAAGCAAATAAAAGAACGGGATAGAAAGAAGCAGGGGTGGGGAATTATTACAACACTTTTAAATATTACAAATCCAAATAAAAGGAGGAGATGAGAAAATAAATATTACAAAAAAATATAAAAATCCTCACAACTCTCAAATTAAAATAATAAAAAAAAATATAGAAAGAAAACAAAGTCTTCATATGCCTTGGAGATCACCGAAAACATGTTCGGTTTGCCATTGGAAAGACTGTTCGGTTTTGTCTCAAGGTCGCAGCCACGGTGGGCTAGGGAAAAGGGGCTGGTCAGCCAAAGAGCCGAGATGGACATCCAAGCAAATTAGTCCGCCGGCCAACTAGGCTAGGCGAAAACTTTGTTTTGTTTAAAAAAACCAAAGATAGAACAAACAAAGGATATGGAAGCAATTCAACTCATCACTTCCAGTTAGATTACAATAGATTATAACACGAAATTAGGACAAGAAACAAGATGGAAATTAAGGCAAGAGACTTGAAACAAGATGGAAATCAAGACAAGAAACTTAAAACAAGATGGAAAATACAAGGGAATGAAAGAGTGCGAAATTCACCTTCCAAGGAGAGATGAACTTCTTGATTCACAAACTTCCTTTTTGATCACCCTTAAGCTTAGGAAGCGTGTTCTCAATCCTCAATTCGAAACTAGAATGGAGCTCTAGGAATGTTTGATGGTATGTGTGGTGAAAAAGTGGCTAATTCTCTTATTTTTCCTTACTTTCAATAACACTCACTCTTTCCTTCGATCAATCACTACTGAAATTCAGCTATTTCAAAATTTTTGGAGTTGTTTTGGATGTATAAAAGGTGGAATTTCCATGTGTATAAGCCATAGAAGGTGTATACGGAAGATGGAAGTGTTTTTAGCTCAAAACTTGAACTCTCTCTCTTTTTTCTCTCTTGTTCTCACTCTTTTCTATTATATTTCGTGGTTCTTTCTTTTCTCTATACAACCTGATTATGTATATAGACAATGAGGAAGAGTTGAGGTCAAAGAGAAGGTGGGAGACAAGAATGTGATAGGAGGACAAAGTTTTCAAGGTGGTTAGATTGGATTTCTCTTTTATGGATGCAAACAAATTTCTTTTTGACAATGAGGGATGATTAGGTACGTATTTGGTGATATATGAGTCGGCCAATGAGGTAGGGGAGTGTCCCATACACAAAAAAAATGAAAAAAATACACCTTCTTTGCCTGCTGGTTTGAAGTGGTCAAATATTAGTTGGGGGAAATATAACACAAGGTGATGCTTTGGCGTAGTAGTTAAGGTTTAGGATATAGAGTCTTAGGTTGGGGGTTCAAGCCCCTTGTTTCTTTTTTTTGGGTAAAGACATGTCAGCACCATATCATCAGCATAGACCAATCTAGTCATGCCACGTCAACAAGACCGCTCTGTCAGTGTCACAATCACGGAATATTCTGCATATGTACGGAATATTCCCTGACTTAATAGAATATTCCCTTAATAGAATATTTGTCTCTCTAACAGAATATTATCCTGGAAAGATAATTTGTGACTGTTTTTTAGATGGGACCATTTGTTCCTAATCAAAACACTTGGCCAAAACAGGTTTAGGGTTGGAAATAAAGTTCAAATTCTATTTTATTACTAAAAATTTTATGAGAAACACTTTGTTTTCATCATCAGGTGATCAAAAGAAAGCGCCCAAGTCTTAGGGTCGGTCAAAATGGGATGTCTATAGTTTCCCCTCTTTGATAGAGCTCAGAGTCATTTCTTGACGTGAGTGAATGTCAAAGCCCAAAGATGATCCTTTTGACAAGACCGTAAGACTTTGGGTAAACAAACAAAATGCAATGCAATTGGCTGAATCCAAGGGTTGCCTACGCATCCCTTTGCAAGGAATCAAAGCAGTTTAATTCAGGGGCAAAATGCAAATGATATGCTCGAAATATAAATTGGACTTACACGCTTTGCGAAGCCGATTACATGATGCTAATGAGATGATGTAATGCAACAAGACAAACTTTAAACATGCGTTCTACATGATATGGCTAATATTTGAAACAAACTGGGACACAAACTTGCGTGTCCCAAGATGAACCTGCTCGAGGACATGTCATCACGTTTTGCTGAGATAAAAATCGCTCGGGATCGCGTTCTTGCACGCCTTGAAATAAAGACCACTTGGGGATACGTCTCATGCATCCCGAGAAAAAACCACTCAGGTTCGTGTTCTTGCACACTTCAAACGTGTCTCACGCGAGTAGAGGGAACTCAAAATCCAAACGTGTCTCATAAAGAGAAGGTGGGAGACAAGAATGTGATAGGAGGACAAAGTTTTCAAGGTGGTTAGATTGGATTTCTCTTTTATGGATGCAA